CTTCCTGAAATCACTTCAGGGATAGTGAGCAGCCTGGTCTGATTTGGGAGTAGCCGACCTACACAAGAGCCTAGGAATCGACTCTGGTAGCAGTCAGGCGATTCCCACATCCATGGTGGAGTTGCGCAAAGTGTACAACTAATCTAGTGGATTCAGTCCTTCCGATATACCACAATTATTCGCCTCTCACCTGGCTTCCACGGCTCGAAACGAACTGATTGCCTAACGGTTCTGGTCGGTCGGCAGGGTCCAAACGCCCACAACTTACTAGTTAATAATAAAAACGACACGTTGTCAATTGGTTCCCACTATCATTATCATTATCCCTCTCAACGGTCCTGATTGATAAACTCTTCTAACTCACGATATGTTGAAAAAATATTTGCATAACGGTTTGATTCGCACTGCAGGCAGTGAGACAGTGGGAGTATAAACCCAACACCGATACAGTTGAAAATGTAACTTCTTCACTCTCTTCTATATTTGTCTTTTCATATGCGACTCAATGACCATAAACTCAACAACATCATGACAAAGAAAACGTCAAAAGAGCATCGTAATCATCATCATCATCAGTCTACTATCGATCAGTCGCTCTCGTCCACATCGCCACAGCCCGACACAACTCATCCAGATCCTCTACTCCTATCTGATGGGCTATCTCAGCCTGGATCCACCGATTCAAGAACAGGAACCTGTTAACTTGATCTATCTACACATACTACACAAAACGTTCATCTTACTTTCGACACACTTCCCCGTCCACAACAGGCGTAGGCTCATCTGGCAACGCTTGGGACTGTCGATAGGCTACCGGCTCTCGCTGCACTGCAGCATTGAGACTACCCGGGGAAGGGAGCATGGTCACCAGGTGAGTGAATAGCCGTGACAGGACTGTGAAGTCGGACGAGTTCACTGAAGACGATGTGACTTACTCGTGCTAAATCCCGACTTAATCCTAATATCAACTATCATAAAAAGCGACTAACACTCACCGAGCGCCAATTTGATAGGTGCTTTGTCCGGTGTAATTCGCAAGGTATTCACAATTCACTTCATATCACGTTTTTCATATGGGGCATTACGCCACTCCCTGTAAAACGTGTGAAACTCCAACAATATAACATTTAATATAGCATCATACATAACAGTTACTTCCTACACCATAACCTCATATAGATGCCCCGATATCAAATATAATTATGTATTGAAGTTTCACTCGTGATATGAAAAACGCTACTGGAAAATACATTTCACGACTACTGCATAATAGTCGGTATATAATATCGTTTTTTTCACAGAGTATAACGCCATTTCACGTAAAATGGGTGAAACTTCAATATGTACAATTTCCTAATAAAATATAACGCTCACCAAGACCAGTGCGTGAGACCCCTTTCACGCGAAGTGGCGTAAAACTCGGTGAAAAACGAGTTGTTCGCGATATGCAGTAGTCGTGAAATATGTTTTTCACTAATGTTTCTCATATCACTAGGGTAAAACTCCTTTATATCCAGAAATCACGTGATGAGCAAACTTCCATAATATAATTCTTTGCAGTACGGAATTCAAGCCATCCAAAATCCAATCTACACTTCATTTTGTCGTCCCCTCTCACCTGCAAATAGCCTGCCCATCGTTCCATCACTAAGCGGCATCAACAACGAACCCGCGTCCACAGGCGATGCCACAACAGATGCTGATATCGACTCCATGAAGAAAGGCCGCCCATGCAAAAGTACCTATCAAAAGACTATCAACCAGTGTTGAAATATGTTCGCTTTCCTCAGCCGTGCTCATGAACTTCCCTCACCAATAACAAAACTTCATATATGAATCCGGGTAGAAATACACAGAAATCAATGAAAATTTCCCAAAATATGTGTTGTCACCAACATATGTGTTTGATCATGTGCGTATTTTTTCACACTGATAGCAACCATAGTGAACATATTCCTGTCCGTTTTCCTCAGCTGAGCGCGAGAGCTCGATTATACAGGCTCAAACATACGAATTCGGGTAGAAGCGTACAGAGACCAATGAAAATTTACCAAAATTCCCTCAGAATTTTCACGACCATGTGCATATTTTCCCTCACACCACTGCTGCCCAGACTCACATCTCCTCCCGTTCCCCTTATCGGATCAAAATGCGGAGAAAATGTCGATACGTGGATATTCCCATGTGCATCAAATGCAATCAGGCCAAGATTAGATTCTAAAACCAAACGTGAACAAGGTGAACAGCAACAATATCCCCATACTTCACGAATGGAATTTCTTAAAACAAAACCAACGCTACATTCTCCAGTGTGGTAAAATTTCTACTTGATCAACCACATGTGTTAGTGACAATATGATGATTCTGAGAAAATTCTGGGAATTTTCTGCAGCTTTCTGTACACTTCCATTGGTGAGGGAATTCCTGAGCTCAGCTGAGGAAAGGGAACACATGTTGGAATTCTGATATTCTCGATCAGCGCGTTTTTCTCACTAGGACTAGCCATTCAGCTAACTTCGAGAGTTTATCCCGTAATTTTCATACAGGTTTGCCACCCAAAATTTCCATTTTTATTATAATTCCGAGAGTAGAGAATGTGTGTTTTCTATTCCGGGATTAATGATAGTAAACACATCATAGTCACCAGTATCAGAGTACATGATCATTGCAATGTTTACATTGTAGATTCAGTCTTTTTACGTGAAGTGGCGTGAAACTCGTTGAAAAACGCGATATTTGCGCTATGCAGTGGTCGTGAAATATATTTTTAACTACTATTCTTCACATCACGGCTGAAACTCCACTGTATGCATACCACTCCCCCCACACTTACCTCTCACCGAAGTAGCTACTGCTACCACCGGAAGCGTCTGACTATAATGCGTCTTAGCCAAATAGCTAATCGAGTTTGTATGCTGTTGTTTATTGTGCTTAAACCGTGCCTGACCACATTCCTTGAATGCCACAAACGTCGAACATTACTTCCAGTGTGGGAATATATGCGCATGGTCAACTACATGTGTTGCTAGGAATATGGAAATTTTGACGAAATTTTGAACAATTATCGATGATTTTTGTATACCTATACCAAAAATCGTGAGATTTTTCATAATATAGTGAGGAAACCTACGAGCTCAGTTGAGGAAACCAGACATATATTCCCATACTGACTGCTTCCTTACAAATTGCAATCCCCGAATCGCGTCTCCAGCCAATATATAGTTCTTCACCGTACATAAAGAGGTTATGCTTGGCCCCATAGTGTCCAGCCTGAAAAATCCGCCAGAAATGAGAGAATCGGTGATGCAGGGCGGGCGCGAAATGCAATTAATAACATTTTGCTACTATCAAACTCTTCACGTTTTTTCACCGAGTATTACGCCACTTCACGTAAAACAAATGAACCTCCAGTGTTGTACCACCCCTTCTCCAACTCACATCGCCATCCCTTCTAGTGTTTCCTTCTGAGCATTCCAGCGATACACGAATATCCTAAACCCGATCGAGATCATCAACAGCCTCCTCCACGGTTTGATAGCAGTCACTGGTCCCCTTTTATCCAGATGTACTAATACCGAACATCCACTCTTGTCACTATCACCAGGGCCACCTGAAAATAAACAACCCAACATTTTAAATCATCTCAAAGACCAACAAACTGCATATGAAGTACAATGAAATTGCAGTAAAAATTTTCAGAATTCAACAATTCCAACAATAGAGTTTCACCCGTGATATGAGAAGACGTAATCAACTACATGTGATGGAGACAACATGGGAACTTCGAGGAGAATTCTCTATAGTTTCGGTATACTTCTACCCAAATTTTCGTGTAAACTTCTATAATTAGCGAGAAAACGGATAAGCTCAACTGAGGAGAGCAAACGTATATTCCAACGACAGCGCTTCACCCGTGATATGAAAAACACCAGTAAAAGACATATATTGGAATCTCACTTCGCGAAAAACGCATGTGAGCAGCGAATAACGCGGCTAAGTGTATTCAATTAACTTCATATCGCGAATATCGCGTTTCTCACATCGAGTAAAACTCCACTGTATCACACCATAGGATCACCCCAAGTGGGTAAATATGCACATGGTCAACCTCAAATTTTAGTGACAATATGGAAATTCTGTCGACTCTGTACATTTCTACTCGGACTCATGAATAAACTTCTATAATTAGTGAGGTAACTCCTAAGCTCAGCTGAGGAAAGCGAATATATATTCCTCCAACACTGATATCTCAACAACTCCATCATTGCACAAACAGGCCTCCTTTCCAGCCTACCTCCAGCAGCATCAGGCTCCTCCTCATCCAAGGCATTCTCCCCCTTCTCCACAGCTCCCAACGACGATGCCGCCTTGCTGGCCAACGCCGTCACTCGTAACTGAGCTCCAACACATCCGTCACTCGCCACGAAATTCCCTCCACTACTACCAGCGTGAGCCCACCTCTAGCCGATCTATCTTCTCCGCCTTGTATGGCAGACCCAATCGCAACGACCGAGGTGGGGTCCATCAGGCCTATAGGAAAACGACATCATTTTCCGAATACGCGAATATCTCTATTATGTAAGTATACATTTATTGTTATCACTCTATGGTACAATACAATGCAGTTTCACCCGTTTAACGTGAAGTGGTGTAATACTCCATGTGAATAGCTTCCGCGGCTGACAATACAACTGTTTTCTGCAAAGTCGATTGTGAAATATGTTTTCCACTATTGTTTTTCATTTCACTTCGAGCGCAACTCCAATACAGTCTGGGAGTATATGTTAGCTTTCCTCAATTTAGTTCGTGAGTTCCATCACTACATTATGAAAATCTACAAACGACTTTGTAGGGTAGAAGCATACAAATACTGTCGATAATTTTCACAATTCTCACATTGACCATGTGCATATATTCCCCCCCACACTGCTCCAAAATATATGTAATTATCTATTCCCAATCGATACAATACACGTCATCTAGCAAGTGAAAAAATTCGGAAAATTTTGACTTTAAAGCTAGAATTTCCGATATAGGATCCTCTCATATCCTTATATTGCATGAAACCAGTCCGAAATCAATTTTTGAAAAGAAAACTCATGACAAATTTCTATACATGTCCGACCCCAGAATTGAACCCGCGCCCTCCATAATGAAGTCACGTTGCTCGTCTACCCGACCAAAAATTACCTTCCAAATCCGACATGAACGCTGCGTCCAGTATAACCTCATCAGGATGTACTCTATACAGGGCCAACACCGTTCCTACACCGCAACATAACAACAGACGAAACGCTGCATATGTCGATTACTCATGTCTGCTCTAGAGACTACTCGCAATTGGTATCGATCTCTCATTCTCACCACAGGACACTCCTCCTGCGCCATAGCTGTTGGCGCTATCATATCCTCTATAGAGAAGTCAGTCGTGGACAGACCTGATCCAAAGGAGCCTCGAAATTAACAACTTTTGCAAAAACAGAATTATACGGAGCTCCTGTATATGAGTGCAGAAAATATGCAAATGTGAAAAATCCGAGGAAATTTCGGGAAATTCTCACTGGTTTCTCTACACTTCTACCTGTACATGGAATTCGTATGTATAGTTCCATAATTAGTGAGGAAACTTCTCAACTCGGCTGAGCAAAGCAAAAACATATATTCCTCCAACACTCCTATACACATCTCATATCACCCGGATAAACCCAATGTATTCAGGCTCCCGTCCACTTCGAACTACTCCCCCAGGAGGAATCCATCACAGTGCGGGAAATACAGGGGCGAAGTTGTAAGAGTTTATACGCCGTGGACTTGCAGTTCGTTGACGAGATGGCAAAAATTCATCTTATAGTGTTTAAAGGAGAGGCTCTGCTTAGGAGTCTTATAGTCCATGATGTATCGAGTGTCGTCGTAACGATGTAGCCATCTTAGCTCGAGCTGTCTCGTT